CAAATTCTCTTATTTTAATTTTTTTAATTTCAGACTTCAAATTAAACAATTTGTAAAATTATCTACCAATTGAAAATTACAGGACAATAATAATTATTTCATAAATTAAATTAAACCCCATAAAAAAAAAAAATGACAAAATTCAGATTAAAAATATAATAAAAAAATTAAAATACAATGCATATTAGAATACACAGGATACCAGAATTATATTAATGAAAAACTGTACCATTACATTAATAGAATCCTCATAAAAAAATAACAGAAATAAAAATGACAAAATTCAAAATAAAAATGTAATAAAAAAATTAAAATACAATGCACATTAGAATGCAGATAAAATTATATTAATGAAACACTGTAGCAATAAATTTGTTTGAGTGATTAATAGAAGTGGTCGTTAAGCGATAAATAATTTGCGCACCATTTGGCAGAAAATATCGGTCGCTGCAAAGAGAATTTACTATCCACAACACGTGTTCCGTGCCGAAGTGTCTCGCAACGAGAGGGTTAATCTTGAGGTAAGCCTACTAGTTTACATCCAATTATATGGGCGGGGGAGAAAAATCGCGGAACAGAGTGTCGTTATAATATTGTGACAAGAAAAATCGACCGGCACACTACGCGCTATATTTTAGAGCTATAAAGACGGTAAATACTGTTGGCTTCAAGCATGAACGTTATATACTTATATAACGCTGTTTTAGAGGGGTGACACTTAAACCTTTTAACCCTTAACGACGTTTCTCTTCTTTGAAATATGACGCAACTATGCAGAGTATTATCTCGAGATAAGATAGATCCTTTCTAACGGGCCGCCATTTTGAATTCGAACCTCTTCAAATTATGGGAACCATTGTTAAATTTCATTACCTAATTTACTGGAGTAATAATTACCTAATTTAATTGGAGTAATAAAATTAATTATGCTATGAAATTAATTAGATTGAAAATGAAATAAATTTGATAAAAATAAAATTTACCAATAAGTAAAAGTGTATAAATTTTTCAATAAGTTGATTTTCTTTGCAACTTCAACATTAATTATTCCATGAGAAAGAATTTTTAATAGAAAGCAATTTATTAGGTGGTACAAGTATGCATTATACCCGATAGAAAAAATGGAAAATGTACTTGGCAACAGAAGGCGGAAACCCGTATTCATCATGCTTGCAAATGCTAATTATTCAAAGGCAAAATGTAAAATATAAATACGGGCGAACCGATAAAAAAACGATCCGACAGACATGCTTTATGAATCTACCGCCATTTTTCGCCATATCTGTTTTTAATTATGTACTTCCGATATACATTAAGACAGCGTGCAATGCAATATTGAATAATCTCGCATTCAAAACAGTTCGATCGTATTTCGAAACTGCGCTTTTATAATGCGTAGCCTGTTTTGACAGGAAACGACTATATTACCAGTAACACCTTGTTCCGCGCTTTTATTTGCGTGTAAAAAAATATATTTTTCAACTCTCACAAATAATAAAAAAAATAACGTACATAATTATTGCAAAATAAATTTAAAAATTAAAAAATCTGTAAGTCGACTATTTTATGTAAATTAAATTATGTATATTATATGTGCGACGTAAACAGATTGCAAAGCAAGAAAAAAGTATACTCTTTTCCATTTAATATATGCGAAATATCTTGTTTCAATTCCTCTTCAAATTACTCTTGTTAATTTCAAGATGTACAATGTACCTGAATTTATGTAGCAATGTTCGGTAGAAAAATTAATACATATTAATCACCGTAGTACGTAATATTGCCTAAAATTATCTGTAAGGTTGATGCATATCAAAATAACATGCAATGCTGAATCATACTTGGCTGAAACTTGTTAACATGGTATATACGTTGTATGTTCATTAATTTCAAATTTATTAAATTTTCAACGGAACTAATAAATGAATTTCACTCACCCGTTTAATTAATTTATAATCAATGACAGTTAATCCATCAACTGAATAGTTATAAAAAAATTAATCATCGTTCGATACTGTATCGAACGTAAATATATTTTATAATTATAAAATTTATTCACCGTGAAAATAAATGGACCTTAACCAAAGCAACTGTGTTAATTTAACTGAACTTCTCTTCAAAACAATTTTATTTTTCCTCGTAGAACTGGCTTGTTTTATTTTTGTTAAGAGGTCAACAAGCCTGAATTTGAGTATGTACCAAGTGTACAGCGAGGGGCAAGGCTTTAAAAAATTTGTACACCGGGGATTTGAAAATTTGTAAGATTATGCGTATCATCCTGAAAACTGCGGAGCAAATGGTGGGGTGTTTCCCGTACACCTGTCCTAATCCAAATGAATGCACCGTTGCACCCGCCTCTAGGATAATAACTTTAATGCATGATTTCGCAAACGTTGCATCGTGCATGAATATTCGTGAAACGCAAATACCTAAGCATGGACACGCCAAATGTGCGTAGCATACATTGTTGCGGAGAAGGGAATAGCATATACAGTCAAACTTTTTATATGAATCATTTTAGGAACGCGCCATCGCCACCCGAAAGTTTGGCCTTCAAAAACTCGACGCAAGTTTACGAATCAGACGAATATCGAACGACGGACCCGTAAGAAAGAAGTTTCTCGATTTCCAATTAATTCTCGAATAAAAAGCTCGAGTGTTGGCTAGGCGTCAACGTGAAATCGTTCGAATTCGTTTCCGAGAAATTCAGCCAAGCCCGTGACGAAGCCGGCCCTCTCGTGAGGCAAACAAGAAAACGTCGCGACGGTTTTGCGAACAGTCTAACGTCGCAACAATCGACCGATCATCGTATGAACTCTTTTGTCATTCCATCGCAAACGCGTGAAAAACGTTACGAGGAATTTGAGGAATGCAACGAAATAAATCGGCGAAAATTTAACGCCGGCCGGCATCCGTTCTAAATTTAAATTCGCTGCTAGACCGTTCATGGAGGACTTGATTAACGTACCTTTAGAGAACGCTCTCTCGCTGGCACTGACTGCTTAATCGTCAATGAAACTCGATCGGGTTGCTTTATCGTCGCACGTTTCGAAGAAAACAGTTCAAATTTACGATCGGAACGCACTATACACAGAATTAACTGCGTTTTTACCACGAAAACACTTCGACAATGATCAAAAGCGACAAACACTCACGACCGCTCGAAGCTCGGAGACCAACTGCCGGAACCCCCTTCCCGGCAACCCACGCGGCACGTCACGCGATTGGCCGATGCCTGCTGAGCCGTGCGCCTATCAGAATCCGCCGCAGCCGCGCCGACCAATCGCGCTGGTTAGCGACAATTCGAGATTCTTCTGCTGCCTCGCGGTAAATTCAAAAAAGAATTTTGCCCGCGCGTTATTGTAACAATTATCAGTGCCATTATAGGGCACATTCAAAAGACCCGACTAATGGTTTCACTTCTAAAAATAGACTAATTAATGGATCATACTTTAAAATAGCATCGAAACACTTTGTAACATAAGCTATTCATAATTTGAATAAATATAAAGATACAAATTATATCTCCGCTTATAACAGTAACGTCTTAATAATTTTGAGTTAGAAAATGTGTTGTACGTGAGAGTGCAGATGTTCTTGATGAAACGTTCCCTCGAAGATTAATTAACAACTGATAATTAAATGTTAAGAAAATTCGTGCGGGTTACAGTAGAAGTAAAACGACCTTGCGACTGCATGCCCAGATAAATTTAGATAGATGGAAAAAGAGGGGCGTGGTACAGTGAATAACTACGCGCATGCATGAGCAGCATACGTGGCTTCTTTGGCACGTAAGTGTCACGACACTTCTCCTTTTTTAATATCGCACACAGCTTCGAAGAAAACACTTGGTAATGTTTCTCTGTTGCACAGCGACCGAAATATTCTGTTTCTCCCCTTCGAATCTAACTCTAAACGCTTTGCTGAAAGAATCACGATTACCCTGACTATAGAATTGAAATTTATTTGGAAATTTTTAAGAACGTGTAACGGGGAATTTCTTGAAATGGGTCTATCCTGGAGAACAATGTGTTTCGCGAAAGATAAACCGGAAGTGCAACAGTTAGGCCTATCGCCGGTTCACTACAACCTTTCTCCGTTTATCAAACGTGTTTCTGCTTTTTGAGATATCGTGATTTTTTTGCGATAAAACCGTGCAAATATTCTGAAGTGGATTTGGAAAGTGAGAATTTCAAAGATATAATTAAAAAATGTGGGTAGAATGCTTCTACCTAGAACCTGATCTTATCACTACCGTTGAACGAGGCGACTTCGCCGGAACGGCAAAGTCATCTTCCATTAAATCAAACGCAGAACTTTGATAGAGAAAAAATTGTCTGAAGAAAGGAAGCAGTAAAAAAGGCCTCGGTCTAGGATAAAGGCTGGCAGTTTTGCGAGGTGGATGACAATTAGTGCAGGAAATGCAGTGACTGGCACAAGGTGGTGAAAGCCGAAGGCAACGGAAAGTGGGCCTCACCGATATAAAGAACACTTTGAACGTCCCACGTTTGACATTCGTATTTCTGAGTGGAGCGATCCGATTTAATTCTACAGACTTCCTACTATTTATCGTCGTTTATTTCATTTCAAAGATAAATGTTTAAAATCGTTTCAATCGAAAAAAAAATTGGTCACCCTAACTGCTACATCAGTGAATGAAATGTTAAAAAATTTAATTGCACCTCCCGCCTCTTTAATAGTTCAATTATCTCCTGCAAGCTACAAAAGCCTAGCTTACAAATTAAATATATTGTGATACTATCTATGAAAAGTGGCCCATTCCTTCAGTACATCTGCATTACGCATCCCGCAACCCAACATCGCCACCAGGTCACAAATTGTTTTCATAACAAGGTGTCTTAACCCCGTTCAAAAGTTTGAGAAATCATAAACGGACACGAGACTGAGCAGCATGAACTTGCCCAGAAGGTACGCGCACCTGAGTACCCAGGATGGCAAGGATCGCTCATAGAAACGCGGCTTACTTATTTCACACTTACTGTTAGCCTGCGGCGATGGCGGCGAGTCGTCATAATCCATCGGTCCAGCTTCGTCCACCATATCCCGCGAATCCTCGACGCGATCCTCTTTCTTCGACTCTTCCACATTCTCCTCGAAGGATCTGCGAACTTCGTTTTGCATTTCTTCGTAGATCTTATCGGCGACCTCGTCGCGGAGCACGTCGGACGTAATTTCGTGGCGCTTCTCGTGTAAATTATTGTCAGGACGCGCAACGATGTTGGATTCGTCCATGGGCTCCTTGTCGAGTTCTTGGTCCTTGTAAAATTCGTACGAGAGGTTTTTCACGGGCATCGGCACGTCGTCGATGGCGTCCACGTTCGTTTCCGGTCCCAGGTCCGAGTAATCGTAATCGGCGTCGCCGTTCTCGTGTTTACCGTTGCTCGCTTCCATTATATCGCCGTCGTCGCGATCGCAAGGGTCCGAGATCATCGTCTGCTTCAGGACCTTCGACTCGATCGCGTTCTGCGCGTACTCGATGTCCCGTGGCATCGGTTTATCCTTCGAGTTCATTTCCTCCAGTATATCATTCACGCTTGAAACGATGTACGGATGGAAGTGTCCACGCCTGGCTGCGATCTCGCTCGCTGGGGTTAACAGGACCACGATCAACGTGATGTTGTCCCTCGAACCTGCGTACTTCGCCCACTGCAGCAGGATGTGGTGAGCGCGGTCCAATCCGTCTGCAAAAAAAGAAAATGTTCATTGTTATTTTTTATGATTCTCGTAATTATTAGTTTAAGTAGTTAATAGTAGGCTGTATTAGTAGTATTAGATATACAGACTCTTAACAATATGGAAGTTTCATGGAACTTATATGTTTCATTCTACTTATATGTCATACATGGATGACGTGGTCGTTAAAATGGAGAACGCTATTTCATAGGTTATTAAGATTACACGTCATGTATTATAATTATTAGAGCAGAAATTATTGTGTAACAATGTACATTAAAATCTGTCGAAATTAAAAAATTCCCAAATATCTGAGAAGTTGAAATCTCGCGCTTCATTACACATTTCCCAATTAACGCCGTTCCGAGACCACGAAAGCCGTGATTAACGCCTCCGTTCCTGTATAAACTTATGCAAAAAGCATTTGCAAAAGTATTGAATCCGTGTGAACGTGCGTGGCTGAATGCAAGTGCAATGACCTACGCGCCACGTCTGCGTAGGCTTCCATCCCACCCTCTTCTTTACCCCATCGTATTTCTCCTATTTTACCCCGACTATTTCGTCTCGTGCTGGCTGAGTTCGGTCTTTCGTTCGCGTCGTTGACTTCATTGCGACGGAAAGCATCCGCCCATCCCCTTTTTCCATCATTAATTCTCCTTCGTTCAGCTTTTCCACCTAGATTTAGTTATTCCTCCCGAACTTCGCTACCAATTTCCAAGCGATTTTCACTTTGCCTCTAACGCGATTATTCTACAAAAATTTTGGGGATTTTTTGATAAACACCTATTTTAATTTTCGAGGTTGTATTAATATGCAGCTTGTTGAATTTAATTAGAAGTATAAGTGTGTCTGTGAAATGTAAGTGTATATGTTACCGTGAAAGACCGAAATTGAAGAATGTAATTCACCGGTGAATGTGGACATATACCAAATACGTCAGTGAAAGACCGAATATTTTATTACATTCTTGTACATTCGGACCTTCACCGGTATACGTCGACAATCACAGATATGCTCTGGTGGAGGTCCAAAAGAGAGGAGCCGACAAAGAAGCGACTGGCTCTCTCCCGCCAAATCCTGTGTTCTGCTGGGAGTCAGTCAGCTTTGTCAATCTTATGCAAGCTTTGATAATGCGAGCAACGTTTCCTTAATTTTTTTTCCAATACCGTAATTTATACTGAATGGATACTGCAGTAAATCGTGATCTTTTTCTTGAAAAGTTAAATGCATTAATTGCGGGTAAACGAGAAGACAATTGTTTTTATTTTTCTCAAGAAAAGTACTCTAAAATACTTTCTGAAGTGGTTTCTGCTAAAACTAAGTGCAACACACCTTTGGATTACAGACGATTAAAACGTTTTGACGTTTTAAAAATTAATGATGAAAGGAAATTAATTGTACCATTAAAATCAGGGGAAACGAATATACAGTATTATGTTACCAATGAAAAATTGTTCAGTATACTATATAAAACTCACGGCAGAATAGGCTACGGAGGAAGAACACGTATGCTTAGAATGTACTATGTGTTTTAAATTCTTGGTCTCTCCTCTCAGAAAGAGAGGCGAAAAAGTTACGTCAACCTTGTGACGTTTTATAGCGACTGAATTACGGAGAAGAAAATATAAATCTCCGACGTGTTCAACATTCACCATTAGTGCATGGTGAATGTCGACATTTACCGGTGTAAGTCAGAAATAAGGGTATTTAGCAAATATTTCGGACATACACCAAGCGACTATGTGAATATCGACATTCTCCCGATTTCGGTCTTTCACGGTAACATATATATTTATACACGTGTGCATAGATAATAATATTATAAAAATCGCTAACTAATAATTATTACATTTATTATTTCGTAACACCCATTATTATAATTATTATTAGTGAAATAATTGTTAGATTCTCTCGTGAATACCCTGAAAAGTAAAGAAGTTAAATTTCTTCTGTTTTCAGATCGCAATCACAACAATGATTATATAACATATTGTCGAGGTTATTTAACTATGTAGCTAGGTGAGGTGGTTTCGTAAATATAACTGACGCCTGCATAAACTCTAGTAACACGAGTGGCTGTATTGAAATCTAAAACGTAATTTGAGGCCTAGTTAATAGGTATAAAAACACTGAATTAATTTGCATAAGAGCCTAACACAGACACACATCAATCTTAGTCATGTCAGATCCTCGGATTTATTCAATTACAAATCTCTTTTTAAGCACCTGGAAGAATGTCCATTAGGGAGAACTAGATATCAGAAATAATCATGACAGTAGATTTATTGCAAATAAAGTTGCTGCTTAGGTGGATTTCAACACTTTCACTGCGGCTGTAAAATTTGTTCTGCACTCGAGTTGCATGGTTCGGGCTATAAATTTATTCAAATTTGTCAGCTGGTATGCAAGAATTCACAAATTCCTAGGATTCATAAAGTTTGAAATAAGTTACATTCTACAACTTCAATTTTCACTGCATCTTCCCAAACTTTCGTAATTTCGAATTTTTTAACTTCAGATTCAAATTTCTTTTATATTTATAAAAGTTGCGTGCTATAATTTTATAAAATTGTTACTTTGTATGTCTACAACGAGTACTCAAAGTTTGGATGAAATCAATAATTGCAAAGTAGTAACCCTCCGTTTCTTCAATTTTACATATTTTGCAGATTTCTGAGGTTCATCTACTAACTGTGAATGTTAGTTTCCGAAACATTGTCTGCAAACTTGCTTCAGACCAATATATCTTCCGCTAGAACCCACGCCGCTTCACGAGACGCGCCAAAACACTTCCAGAAAGGATTGTCATAATTCCGGCATTTTGAAATATTTCGCAAAATAAAAAATATTCTGTAACAGGCAATAGTTATAATAAATTATACTAGAAATTTCGAAAATGCAAAACAAAGGTGTCCTATAAAAAAAAATTCGCAAAATTATACCCTTAATTTCGATAATCGTGGCAAACGTTGTAGAACGCAGCGTTTTATCGCCAAAATGGAGCAAACCGAAAGGAAACTGCAACGAGAGAAGGTGGCAACATCACGGTGAGAAATCACCTCTTCATCGTGCAATACGCAGCATAGAGAACAGTTTAAATTACACGGAAATATTGGATTACATGCGTCACGTTAATGCAACAGCGGTTGAACAATAGACGTTTGTGCTAACACCAGTTTCCTTTATTCTATATTATTTATACGTGGCTTCCTCTCCTGATACCTCTGTCTCTATAAGTGCAAGAAAAAACCGGACCTGACAATAGCCGCCTCATGTTTTACTAATTCCTGACAAGAAACCGAACAATCATTTACGGCTGCGGGTAATCGTAACAACTGGGAAAATTATGATTCCAATTATCTCGAGCATCTTCGAGGTGTACATGTTTAACGTGCTCAACGTAAAATGTATAATTGTTGAAGTACATGAAATACAGAAAATCCAATCATATTTTATTTTTCAATGCTGATTTAAAACGATAAGTTTGTAAAATGCGACTTAAATTCAGAAGAAAGGAAATGATTCATTTGTTTCACAGGGGAAATGGAAAAGGATATGTGAGAAGGCTATTAACTTTTACGGTCATGCGGTCATGTGACCTCTATGTCACTAAAGAAAGGGAATTTTTTGGATGAAAAGAATTATTTTTGTTCTGTCTCGAATTATTTTATTCCCAAGTGTATCTCTATTGACAATAACAGTCAATAGTTGTAATTAAATATATTACAGTCCGGTTACAACGAAAAATGAATAAAGATAAATTATTTTCAATTCCACACGAACCATGGTCGTACGAATAAAATTCTAATTACTGATTATAATAACAGGATTCCATTTTGTCCAGGGCGCAGTGAGATGCAGCCTTGCGCCCACACACGGTGCGAATCTGTAGGAAGCGTTTCTATCGTGCAGTGTGAAATTTATATGGAAAAATCTCGAAGAAGACCAACGATGCTGACGGTCAGGGCCGATGAGCATCGGTTCAACGATCGTTCCGCGAGCGGGTCTTGATTTATGTTAGCACCACCTACATAATTCATATCGCTCAGATACAGTAACAGTTCGAAGGATGTGTGAAGCGGCAGGAAGTTTTGCCTAGGATCAACAACGATCTTGGCCCGCTTTCTCTTCTTCCTCGTTAATGAACAAAGCGATTTGCATACGCTATTCTCGGATTACTTATTAGTCCTTTCATTTGGAAGAGCTGGAATCTTTGTTTGATAGCTTTTACTAGTGGTACTGAGGTTACTGCATAAGTATGAGGTTGCTGGGGTAACTTAGCACTAGACACATATAATCTAGTACAAGATGCATTTAACCTAGCACAAGTTACAACTAATCTAACACAAGTTACATTTAGCCTAGCACAAGTTACACTTAACCTAGTATAAGTTACACCTAACCTAACATAAATTACACTTAACCTAGAACAAGATACACTTGACCTAACACAAGTTACACCTAACCTAGTACAAGTTACAACTAATATAACATAAGTAACACTCAACCTAACACAACTTACACTTAACCTAGCACAAGTTACACCTAACCTAGTACAAGTTACAGCTAACCTAACATAAGTAACACTCAACCTAACACAACTTACACTTAACCTAGCACAAGTTACACCTAACCTAGTACAAGTTACAGCTAACCTAACATAAGTAACACTCAACCTAACACAACTTACACTTAACCTAGCACAAGTTACACCTAACCTAGTACAAGTTACAGCTAACCTAACATAAGTAACACTCAACCTAACACAACTTACACTTAACCTAGCACAAGTTACACCTAACCTAGTACAAGTTACAGCTAACCTAACATAAGTAACACTCAACCTAACACAACTTACACTTAACCTAGCACAAGTTACACCTAACCTAGTACAAGTTACAGCTAACCTAACATAAGTAACACTCAACCTAATACAAGATACACTTAACCTAACACAAGTTACACCTAACCTAGTACAAGTTACAGCTAACCTAACATAAGTAACACT